TCCATGTAAACATATCTTGACGGTCATCACTACTCAGATATCTTTATGTCAACATAATTCAGAGTACCGGTACTCTCAATCTACGCTACACCACTGCCACACCTATCTACACGCCTACACGATCAACCAGAAAACTCTCCGCAGCGACGCAGCCATTGACGAAAATGCTTTGTCGCCCACTTACATGCATGTTTGCACTTGCCATGGCCAGCCGAGCCACCCCTATCCTTCCATACACAAACCTTTATCAACGGGACGTGACTATGGATACCCAAACTGGAGATCATCAACTCTCTACGGAAGCGATCATAGGTGTCATTGGTGTGGTGGTTGCCGTATTGGGTATTGCATCCTCGCTAGCGTGGTCGAAGCGGAGAAAGTCGCGCAGTAGATCCCGTCGCACCTCAGAAGGTACACACATGTCAAGAGTTGTCCACTTCAAGGTCGCTGAACTGACTCGTTTCGCAAGAATTGGTAACCTCAAACTATCCGACACATAGCGGTACTTTCACGCCATTATACCCAATCGACACCTGGACGCGCACAGCTGGCAACAGCGGACAGAACTTGTCGCACGATTACAATTATCATGTACACTATGAGCGGTTGACGGTGCAGCGCACGATGTAATGATTGAGCATCAAGGAGTACTTGTGGTTTGCATTTATGGGTCGGATTTGTTCAGTTTCGAGCGGCGTCGCACTTTCAGGATATTCATATACTGTATCATTATTACATGTTTATCTATCGCATCAAGACATGGACTTAGTCTTCTTTGCCGTGGAGTTCCGCACACTTGCAACAAGTCGAGGCTGAGTAGGCTGACAGCCTGCCGTCGTACGCCAATGTATACCGTGTAGTCTGAATCGAATAAGTATATGCGTTTAGTTCCTGGGCATATGCCGTCATGATCGTGTAGAAGCTCATTGGCGTAGATGGCAAAAGCAAGTCGCAGGGCCGCCTACGTGACAAAAAGGCGCGTTTGGAGTGGATCTCCGGAAGGGTACAGGTGTGTATGATGATCAGGGACGTCGCTTACATAGCTCGAGACCAAGCAAATGCAGTCCGCGACCGTTGCATGCCGTATTCAGTAACGGGTGGTGTATCGCCCCAGACCACTTGAAGTAGGCCTAGGATGTTTCTCCAAGCAAGGTCCAGCCCACCAGACCGCCTAAGCCCAGCGATCAGGACCCCACCCCTACCAGCACCCACCAAAGGTGGGATCATGTCGCGCAGCCGCGCTCACCGTACACGGGACGGCATATGATGGTTGCGCAACACTTGACCTCCGGATGCTCTCGCGATATGGACTGGGTCAGACGCAACGGCGGCCTGTGCACATACTGCATCCTTATTGGTTGGCACTTCGCCGGCGCATCTGGCGCAGTAACTCTAGCTAGTTGGGTCTAATATGCACTTTGGACGCTTGGGCTACTCAATCGTCCAGGTTAACCATTCAAGCACAATGACACAAGGAACCTCCGATGATATCTCCCCGAAGGTGTAGGCGCAACATGTCTGCTGTATAAGGAGCAGAGTCAACGCAAGCGTCTCCATCCATTTATCACATAGTTTTTTTTTCCGATATCTAGGTATACTGGCATCTCCAGTCAGACCCATCTCCGCCTCCTTGCATGTCCCTTAACATGTTATTCTACTTGCTTGTATTGTCGATCGTATTTGTTAATATTGTGCATGCCCTCCCGGTTCACTTGCGTCCAAGTATTTGGCAACGAAGTTCTAACAGTGATATGAAGACTGTAAAAGACAATATGTCTACGGAAGCGGTCATTGGTATCATTGGGGTGATGGTAGCCATAATGGGCATTGTGGCATCGTTAGCGTGGTCGAGGGTGCGGCGGAGATCGCGCGGTCGATCCCGTCCGTCCCTTTCTCTCTCCACTACAGAAGGTATGCTTTCGTGCTATCACACGCTCGATACATCCAGGAAGCTGACACGAAACTTCACGCGCAGATCTACCATTATCGAATCGCCCTTCGCACGCCTACCCTTTTGCCTCGTCACAACCGATTCTAGCCTGGCCGCGCCCAGCGAGCGGCGACGATCGATCACCGCAGCACCAACAGTACTACTATGTACAGTACGAACGGATAATGGTACATGGGGCGGTTCAATAAAGGGCTTCTGTTGTCGGGTTGGGTCGAGGGTTCAACGGCTTCCGTAGTGTGCCATCGGTCGCATCGATTCCTTGCACTTCTCCGTCTCAGCCAGCGTATATCATTACAATCTAGTTGTTACGGTCTATCTTCTCTCCTTTGACAAGTAGCGCGATACTGCTACCCTCTCACACCCGAAACTTGGGCAATCCTACTGCTCGCAAAATAGCAGAGATGGCGTAAGAATGCAATGTATGTCCTATGAAAGCACTTTCGTCTATTGAGAAGATGTTTTCCAACACGACTTGCTTCCTTGCTATAAATTCATCCCTAGTTCCCAGTACCTACGTGTCCAGAGGCTGTCTTTCTCCGATACTTCGGCTCGATGAGGTGTTCGGGATAGTTTTCTTTGATCCAACTTAGTACTTGTTTACCACGATATGCTCCGTCTTTTTACCGCAGTCAGTATCTGGTCGATAGTTCCGTGGCCGGCGGTGCAGCAAAAACTGAACGCGACATGTTGACAGGCGGTCATGATGCACAGCAGATGCCGCGATAAATACCAAAGCATAACATGGTTGGAGTTGGTGGTATATGGCTCTATGTATCTGTACCACTGATCGAGCAAGGCTCCATACTTCTTACCCCGCGCCTTGCACTATACATCGCCTGGGTTTCCTGTGTTTAGAATGAGGACGCAACTTTACCACATTCCATCGAAGGCTCAGCGGGTCTGGAAGATCTCAGAACATGTCCAATCGTTGCAGCGTGGTGCGGCTCAGCTGAAAAGCCTGGTACTTTTTCCCATACGAGGGACTGACCGGTTTCTCTGATCGACCAGTAGGCGCGTCCAGGTAGGTGGCCAGAGACAGCACTAGCGCCCGGGTGGGGTAAAGTCATGCATGTTCCTTAGCATGGTGCATGGATTTGATCCTTGGGAGTGTGCTGAATGTATGTACTGACGTGGCTTTGCGCCTTCGTAGCTGCTCAATCGGCAAGCGCTTGCGCGGGTTCATTTTCGCCGTCAAAGATTATGCGCCTATTCGACGCAACCGCTAATGAGATCTCGTCAAAAGCTTGTGAGCCTAGCTTGACGTAAGTGCGTTTGTGCAGCAACATATAGCCTTCATGGTCGCCGATCTTCGTCGCGCATACTAGAGAAATCGATGCTGCGAGCTTCTTATCCTCAAGTAAACACATCTCGACCAACATCACTGAAGCACAAAACAACGAGCTTTAGCCACGAGACTCGTGGACTACATGCATTGTCGCGCGAGCTGAGCAAGACAAAATCTCATTCAACATTCAGATACAGTCTACTCTCGATCTATCTCTCAAGAACAACCGGTTCTCCCCCAAAAGAAATACCGTCAGCAAGAAGAAGTGAAATTTTCCATGATTGTATCATCATCGGATTGTTGCACCATCTACCATCACATCGTCCTTACCCGGCCACAGAGTCGCTCATCCAATCTTTACAGCCCTAGTCCTTTTTCAGTCTCGAGAAAGAGTCAAGAAACCTTAGATAATGGAGACAACCACCAGTAGTACGGCTGATCAGACCATGAGACACGTCACAAACTTGAGTGACCAAGTCGTCGAGCAAGGTCAAGAAGGTAACTATTCAAACTATTCTTCCTTGTCGTACTGGAAAGCAATGCTCCTGTGCTAAACCCATTCGAGAGACAGATGAGTCGAAACTTGAACATTTTCGAGAACAGGTCATGTCATGGCTTGGCTACACCATCAAGCGAAAAAAGAAAAAGATCTTCGGAAGAAGGATGACTACGGCAGAAGAAGAGCATTCAAGATTGAGGAAGAAGTATTTGAAGGGTATTGGATGTTGGTTCTTCGAAACCGAACAATACCAGAGGTGGTTGGATGGAAACTGCTCAACCCTGGTCTGCCCAGGTATACCAGGCTCCGGAAAAACCATGCTCGCTTTAGAGGTAGTGGACCGACTCAATGACCTGTCAAGGAACCAAGATGTCAAAGGACCAATAGGTGTTGCATTTTCGTACCTCGATGCGGAACCCAGTGATATCGATCCGGCTCTCAGACTTATGAAGCTATTATTACGCCAACTCGTGGAGAACTGTCCATGGTCAGACGTACTCCAGGATACGGGATACTGGATACAGTCTACTCCATTAGGCCTTGAGACCGTCACTGTATTAGTTCATAAAGTGGGGAAATTATATCATCAGGTCTACGTAGTCATAGATGCCCTGGATGAGCTCAACTCGGCACGAAAAGGTGCCAATGAAGCAATCGCAAGCCTTCAAGATCTACACAGAAGTTTCGGAGCGAAGCTCCTCTTCACTCTACGGAATGTACCTGATGTTATAGGGCAACTTCGGGAAGACGGCCGCATCGATATACAGGCAAAGGAGGAGGACGTCTCCACAATCGTGGATCGCGAACTACAAAACATTGATATTAGGTGGTTCGGAGGAAGACTTCGTTTTGAAACGCTAAGACCTGATTTGAAGAAAAGCATGGTATCAAGTTCAAAGAACATGTAAGACGACCATTTTCAAGCCTAACTCTTATTGATTGATAAACAGGTTCTCGTTGGCAGAGCAAGCCATAGATAGACTGTCGACAGATTCGTTGGAAGCAGTTGAAGCCTTTGTCAGATCGCCCTCAGAGTCATCCGCTTTCGAATCTTTTTATGATCGAGAAGCACGTCGAATGAAGGAGCAGCGTGAAGACTATGCGAAACTCGCAAGTCAAGTTCTTTCGCTGATGTCGTTCGCAAAAAGAAGCTTGACCCTGCCGGAGATGCAGCAGGCACTGGCTTTCTACATCCGTCATAAAAGCAAAGGCCTCAACTCGCTAGATGCCCATGATGAAGGCGTGGCTAATGCCCTTGTTTCCTCATGTCGGGGTTTGCTCAAGGTCAAATCTAGATCACAGGAGGTCACTTGGGTGCACGATTCAGCTTCCGTGCTTGTAGGGCCTAACGCATCGCGCTACTTTCCGTCAGAAATAATGCTAGGCTTTCAAGAACCGCTCCGTACTCCAGGTTTTCTTGTCAATAAGCTCCAAAATATGTGTATCGCATGTTTAGCACATTCAGAGTTCAAGTCTGGGCCGTGTCGCAGCGATAGGTTATTAGAAGAGAGGCTTACAAGGTACCCATTCTACAGATACGCTTGCAAGTACTGGGCCCAGCATGTTTTGCCCCTTAAAGACAAGAACAAGGACCTGCTTTGGCGGTTTCTCGAAAATGACCAGAGCGTAGCTGCGGCCTACCAGGTTTACCTTGTTACCCAGGAGATGCCACGAGGGACCGGATCCAGCCAGGTCGCTCCACAAGGCATTACTGGCATGCATCTTGTTGCTCACTTCGGTCTTCATGAGATTCTAGGCGAATTGATTGAGAGAAGAGTCAATGATGTCGCCGCGAAAGATAGCAATGGCCATACTCCACTGTGGTGGGCAGCTAAGAGCAGGATGAAGGAGACGGCTAAGATCCTGATACCCAGGGATTATGAGACAGTCAGCTCTCTCGTTAGATTTGGAGACGTTGATCTTGTACAGCTGCTCTTAGATGCAAAATATGATCTCAACCGAAGGGGAGCTTGGGGCAGAACTCTACTACACAACGCCATCATGGAAGACAAACCGATCATTGCTCACAAGCTTTTGGAAGAAGACGCCAAGTTTGATCAAGCTGACGGTAATGGAGACACACCGTTGTCACTCGCACTTCAGAAAGGCCAACGTCAGACAGCAGATACCCTGCTTGACATGGGTGCATCTACCAAAAACACCACCGTGGAACAGTGGCGGAACGCATACGGCAAATCTCAATGTAGTGTCATGCATATCACCAGAGCAGTGAGGAAGTCTTCTGTCAAGTTTCTGGAAGGTGAAACCCAAGATGAGATGGAAGCTGCGGTTCAACATCAAGCAATGGATCTATTGTAAGTCGTCGTGAGCTTGTATCGTAATGTGGACATGTTCTGAAACACACTCAGCATCTCCCCCGCAACTTCATGTCCAGTATGGATGCAGTCAGATCAACCGAGCTTGCCATTGCAACATGACAGTTTCTGGAAAGGCCAAGTAATCACGTATTTAGTGGTACTGAAGTTTCCAATAGCAACAATGATGGACCAGAAGACGGGATTTTGTTTGCCTTCCATGGTGCCTATTGGGATCAAATGGAGCATGATCAAAGATGAGAATGGAAAAGATGGCTTCCGTCGATCGACTCATTATCACAACTTGCCTGATACATGGATTCCGGAAGAGACGTTACACATGTATCTTCAATTCTTGAAGCAGATGAGAATAAGGTGGGAGATGATATGCGAGAATGGCGCATTACACTTGCAACACTGTGTGAGTTATCACGTACACGTGTTCCCAAGATTCAACGAGGCTGACGAGATTCCGCATTTCAAGCGGAGGGAGATCCTCAATGCAAAGGGCGAAGATCTAGAGCTCACAGACCAACTTCTGGAAGACGCACAACAATGGACAGAACTGCGCAGAGAGTTAGCACAACAAGTCAATGCGGCAACCCAGTTTGTTTCCGAATACAATCGCCTTTACCGAGAACAGAAGGCTCATGGAGACTGCCAAGACTTCTTGCACAAGTTCCAGTTCGATGTAGAACAAAGTCTGAACTCGCTCGATACCACGTCACAAAACCTTATCAACATAGTATGTATGACACCACAACGTTTCAGACTCAGTAGGACTTGAACTGAGTACCAGGAATTCAATCTCGTGACGATTCGAGAGGCTCGCAAATCAGTAACCATGTCGGCTAGCCTAAAGCGCCTCAGTTGGATTACAGTAAGTGGTCACATTCACTTCGCTCGATTGGTGAGAAGTTGCTGATGCACTGATAGTTCGTGTTTCTCCCAGCAACATTCTCTGCCGTAGGTGCACTCTAATCTGTGTGCCAAATTAAGCTTATATCATCAAAGAGTTTATTCGGAATGAACGTCGACGTATTGAGAGACAACCCGAGCTGGAAGTGGTATATACTTTTCGGTGGCGGATGTATGCTGTTAACATTTACAGGATGGCTGCTGTTCAAATTCACCACGGTCAGACCCACGTAGCGGCGCTCAAAGGCTGGTTGCTTACAATTGTACAGCTTGAAGCCTGGCTAGATCGCCTGACGAATAGCACGACAGCGAGACTCGACCGAGAGAAGAGAAAACAGAGGAAAGCGCTTCACGGGACTGTGCCATGAACATCTTGCGCTACATGCTGGTTTGTTGCGAGATCAAGCTACCGCATGGCATGCTCGTAATGACGAGAATAACTCCCAGCCAAGATATGACCTTTATAACATGGTGCTCTGAAGACGACTCGAGGACTTCGACTTATTAGATCAAGTCTATACGCCATGTAGCCAGGTAGTGGATGGAGACTGGTCATCTTTTACTTCCTGCTGGAGTCAATTGACACCTCAGTGTGCGATATTGCGATTTGTCTAGTATCTTAGTATTTTTTTCATCGGTTACATGCGAGCTACCTCGTATATTCTAGAAAAAGCTTTGTTGCATTGATGGTGAGCGCTTCGGTAATCTCGAAAGCCTCGCCCTAGTTTGGACAATAGACTACTTGATACACGCTAGACTCTGAACGCGCATGTGGGTGCTGGATGTCGTTGTCGAACTCAGCAGATACGGTCTACAGGTGTAGATAGATCGGTCGACCTGTCGTACAGTATGATTTGTGGTTTTTGTTGGTACGACAGAAATGGATTAAGCTGAAAGCTGACAAGGTGCATGTATGACTTCATGCGCAAAAGTGATTTAAGATGTGATTGACTTGAGACGTACTTCGAGCGAGCGTATGAATTGCGCTTTCAACCGCTGGATCGTAAGACGAGATGGAGGCTAGCACTCACGGGGATAGGTCGGAAGGCACCCAGGTATCCCGCTTAGATCCCGCACCCATAAGATAGCGCTAGACTAAAGAGTATTAGCGATCACACTTTAAACCATGACAGTGTGAGTCTTAGGCTGCAAGGTTCTGGAGTTCTACCGTGCTTTGTGCGACAACGGCGAGGGTCATGCATGCGCCAAGTGTATTTGAGCCTCATAGATGCTGATGTCGGGACCGATTGGGGTTAGCGTGCGGTTCTGTATGATCAGGTACCCCACCAAATCTTTCTCCGTCTAGCTGTCTAAGCCTTCCAAGATCCCCGCATAAGAATTGGTAGTTCAGAGTTTGGTGCCACAAGGTTCGTATCGCTCTTATCTTTTCATACTTAAGATCGAGTGTGCCTACGTCGTCTCTTCAAGCAACATCCAGAATGCTTCGTCGCCTATTCACGAATACTTTCGTACTTGCCATTGCTGAGCAAGCTGTTTCTGTTGTGCCTTCATTGCCGAGCACTTCGCAAACAGAGACACCAACTAACAGCAATACTGGAAGCAGCCACTTGTCTACAGAAGCGATCATCAGCATCATCAGCGTTCTTGTAACCATCATCATTGGTATCGTCACGTTGGTTGTCACCATCTTTGGGATAGCACTAGCATGGTGGCAGTGGAAAACGTCCCGTGGGCGATCCCGCTGCTCATCTTCCACTACAAGTGGTACGTACCAGTGCTAACTCGCGGATGCGAACAACTAACTAAGTTGGTCCTCCATTCTTAGATTCTGCAAGCCCGGACCACCCGATGTACGGCCACCCGTTGACACCATCGCAACCGACATTCGTCTGGACACACACACCTAGCAACGCGGAACGAGTCCCGCAACACGGACAGTACTTCCAAGTGCAGTATGAGTGTGTGACGATGCGTAGCTCGACGCCATGAAATAGCGAGATAGGTAACAGACATCGAGCGTTGGACTACGTCGGTGTAATAGACGCGAATGGTCCGTTTGTTTTGGCATTCATGGGGCGGTCGGTGTTTTCTTTCTATCGCAGGCAGTCGGCAGTGCAGTATGTGGTGTGTCGCGATTCGTCCCGTATTTTATTAAACTTTCATCAGCTGATGCTGAAGTTCTTATTCTTGCTACTGACAATGCTTTATACATCTGTAGCGGGTGCCTTGATAGGCTTAGAAGTCTTGCCTAGGTTGGTGGTGATAGAGTCCTCAATTCCGCGCTCAGCAACTGTGCTTTACGCCGTGATCGATCGTACTCAAGCTTTGGTGCTCATGCCTAATGTTTTGGTTATGCGTTAGACCCTCTGCATACTATTCGCCTATGGTATGGGTCGACAGGTGCCCAACGACCGTAGGATAGTACCCTTCGCTAACCATTACGCGGGTAAACATGAATATCGAACTACTGAGAACTTCGAGCAGTCCCGTGAAGTCCACCTTTTACGCTCACGTCTAACATCATGTCCCTCTCAACTAAGTCACCACTCGTGGGACAGAGTAGCTCGAGCCATGATCTTATCTACTTCCACTACGGAATGGTGCCCTAATGCCTCGAGTATCGGTATATGTCGGCCAGTTGATGAGTGCGCTTCACAATCAAGACCTCCTGATGTACTCGAGTCTAATAAACACACTGGGTCGGGATTGCGCATAGTTTTGGAGGACCTATCGCCTGTAGAGCGTAAAATCGGTATCCATGGTTCTTTGCGCTCCAACAGCTTACGCAGTCTTGACTTCAACTTGTCGAGATATCGTTGGCTGTTTTGGTAATGCACATAACAATAGGTTCTGTTCGTGCATATGACGGAGTCCATAGCAGCACTTGGACGCCATAAAGCTCCTCTCGAGGGTATAGTTTGCTGTAACGAATGTGTAGAGCCTTAGCAGGGCATGGCGCCTTGTTTCTTCGCCCGGTTAGATAATCAGCGACTCTACGGCAGTTTCGTTGTGGGCGGGGTAGCATTCGTGAACAAGAGAGACGCAGTCGCTTGAAGATAAGCCCGCAGGTATACCAATCACTGCTCAGAAGCAGCGCGCTGGCGTTGTTTGCCCTCCCACCTTATAAAGGGCGATCTCTTTGATAGGCTCGAGTGTGGCGGCAGAGTATATCGTCCTTCACAGCTTCCTTGGTTTGGATATGTCAATGCAAATCAGAATAAGACCCTTGGCAAATTGACTCTGACCGAAATGGACATCAGTTGCAAGCAGACAGCAGAACATCGGGATGCGGGCCATATTTGAATCTACCAGAACGAGCGAGAGGTTGGGCAACGCGTCCAGGAGCGACGGATGAGCTTGAAGTTGAGGGTGGTGTTCTTCGTTGGGTCGCGTCTACGCCGGCGTCCACAGACGAAGCAAGCTTCGGCGCTTCTTCCCCCGCACCTTACGCCGGAAGGCCATATCTGGGGTCGCGACGTGGAGATAGGGTGAAAAAGAAGCGGTATCGTCTTTTATCCAGTGCTGATCCAGTTTAGGGTGAAGCATTCGCGGTCTTGGTGAGAAGGAAACGGGGGAAATTGCCCTGGCGGGGTGTTTTGCCATCGTTAAACCTGCTTCCGAGGGCTGCGCACGGTGCTGGTGCCGGTCTTGACTTGGACGCTAGTGTAAATTACAATGCAAAACCTCCTCCGGGCTCCGCTCAGCGCTGTTGGCACCTATCCCAAGCACTCCGCCCGCATGTTCCCCACACCGGCGCGCATAGCATTGCGAAAACCTCCTCCGAACTTCATACGAACGCTATCTGGCCAATCAGCGAACTCGACGAAGATGCTGAGAACATTTACAAAAACCTCCTCCGAAGGTGCACGAGAATTAGTGATCTGCCCACAGCCAGTATAAAATGTCTTCTCTGCTACGCTTCGATCGCTCATTCTTCATTCATCTCCCTTCTCCCTCTCTACCATCCCTAAAAACTAGCATTTTCACTCCTCCCGAAATCGCTTCAAGATGGCTCCTCACAGACTCCAAGTTGCCGTTGCAGGTCTCGGCCGCATGGGCGCTCGACACGCCCTCAACATCTTGAACAAGACTCCTCGCGCTGAGCTTGTCGCTGCCTTCTCCCCCGACCAAAATGAGCTCAAATGGGGCAAGGAGCACCTTGAGCCGTATGGCGTCACCCTCTACGACGACTACAAGAAGATGCTTGAGCACAAGGGCCTAGAGGCTGTAGTGATCGGCACAGCGACTTCGGTACATGCCGAGGAGACCCTCCAAGCTATCGAGAAGGACCTTCACGTCCTTTGCGAAAAGCCTCTCTCCACCAGCGTTCAGATCTGCCAAGATGTTGTTGACGCAGCTGCGAAGAAGCCACACCTTAAGGTCATGTGCGGTTTCTCAAGGCGCTTCGACGACAGCTACCAAGATGTTGCACGCAAGATCGAGGAGGGTGCTATTGGCAGACCTACAGTTGTCCGATCGCAAACTTGTGACAGGCAACATCCCGACCCAGGTATGTATAATAATGATTGACACATCGTCGAATCAGATGCTAATTCCTTCGATCAGACTTCTTCGTCCAATATGCTGCATGGTCTGGCGGTGTATTCGTCGACATGTCCGTGCACGACATCGATCTGACCCTGTGGTACTTCGGCTCCAACGTGGTACCAAAGTCCATCTCCGCAAACGGTGTTGTTGCCATTCTCCCAGGTCTCAAACAACACAAGGACTACGACAACGCCGTCGGCATCGTTGAGTTCTGGGACGGCAGGATCGCCCACTACTACGCCTCTCGCATGATGACACACGGCCAAGAAGATGTAACCGAGATCATCGGTACCGAGGGCAAGCTCACCGTCAACCTTAACCCCCAGAAGAACCTCGTCAACTACTACTCCAAGGCTGGCATTACCCGGGAGGTACCCGCCGATTACTGGGGTCGATTCGAGCCTGGTTTCGTCAAGGAGGCCAACGAGTTCACAGCCGCGTGCTTGGACAACACACCAGTTCCTCTAGAGTTCCAGAATGCTGTCAAGGCTGTGCAGATCGGCGCCTGGTTGCAAGAAGCGCTCGTCAGCGGAAAGCAGATTCGATTCGACGAG